TGATTTCCATCGACCCGTTAACGAGTTGTTCCGCTTTTGAGTTTTTTGGTAGAAGGAGAGTAGTGGAACACTAATAAAACCGCGCAAATGATACTCGACTACAACTCTTCCCCTACCAAAACTCAAAAGCGGAATATCTCGTTAACGGGTTGACGGGAATCAAACATTTTAATACCGGAATGTATTTAAAGCACTACTGCGTTTATTCGCGTTTTTGTTTATTCAATTATAGATTCCCGTTCGAAAAACCCGAAACGGTATCGCCACAGGAGTATCCGCCCCTTAAATTCTGCGCGAAATCTAAGCGTCGGCTTTAATATCGGCTTCGACTGAACTTGAAAATTTCAAAAATCAAAGTCTGGAACACGTGCGAAATTTAAAAAAAAAAACGGGACGAGTGTTCTCGACGAATCGCCCTGTATAGCTGACGTTTACCGAGAGGGAATTACGAATAGGCGTGTTTCCGGGTCGAAACGATTTAACCCCCGTGGCCGCCGTATCCCCGCCGTCGGCGCTGCCGTAAGGTATTTTCGATCGGCAAATATTTACACGGGACTCCGGTGGAATTCGGTCCGGAGACGCGTAACGAACGTTACGCCCGTATGACGCGCGTACGTGTGCGTTACACACCGGCGGCGGGCGGCGCGTCGAGCAAAACGACTTTCGAAGCGTAACGGAAACGCGGGCCCGGGACTCGGAGATTTTCGTCGACTCGGCGGTCCGGCGGGCTTAGTGGCGGTCGCGCGACCGCCGGCCGCGGGGCGCACTGTACGGGCCGCCGGGCTGCGGCGCAACGCGCGAATTAACGTCGAAATGTCCGCGCGGGCGAAACGGAAAACGTCGGGCCTGTTAAAACACGCGACCGCGCGCGCACGTCACGCCGGCCGGCCGGCCGTACCGGTTACGGACGCGATTTCGGCCGGTTGACAACCGAAAACGATCGGTTCGACGTTTTCGACGTGTTACTTTGTCCGAGCCACCCGTCTCGTCGGTGCGGCGGTCATAAATCGCGTGCCCGCGGCCCCGGGGTGCACCACGGAGCCCGGCCCATCGTGCGGCCCGACCCGAATTCCGAGCGAAATCTATTCGGCCCCGTCACGGAAGTTCAAGCCGTCGAAGAATTTTTTTTTTTTTTTTTTTTGTTTTAAATAAACATCCGTCAGTTTGTACGTAAATAGGTATGTTTATAAATTCAAATAAAAAAGTTTGATTTTTAAAGAAAAGACGAAAACAATCAAAGGGTCCCTGCACAAAATTCCCGTTTTTCCGGTCTGTGTTTGATTTGAGTAAACCAAAATACACTGCTGGGTGTGCCATTATTGTAATTAGACTTCGGAAAGGCAGGTTACATGAAGTTATTTAATTTATATCTGTGCGCCACCATTAATCATCGGTAAGCGAATGACAATCGGTTAAATATGTTTTGAACTTTTCGTCAAAATTCAAACTTAAAACATGCGACTGCAATATTGCGTTCAACTTTTTTTACCACTGTGCATAACGCGTGGTAAACCTCGTGTAAAACGTGAAAGCATTTCTGTTGGGCTAAACAACCTCGCCCACTGCATAAAACCGAGTAAACGGCATTGTCCAATGTCTTTAAATAACAATTTTACCACACCTAAAAAATTATTCTTTAAACATTTCAGGTGTCTACGATTGTTTTCAACCGAATCACAACAAAAAAAAAAAAAAACAAAATTGAAAATAATCAACTACTTGATGCAATAAAGTTTTACGGCGTTCTATCTATTTTCCGAGTTTTTCAATTATTATGAAAACTACATAGAAAATTGATAACAGTTTTCTTTTAGAAGACACTACTGTCCTCTGAAATATAAACCGAAATCGTACAAATTTCAAAAATTAAAAATCAACTAAGCCGAGATAACGTCGTAAATACTCGTCCGTATAGACTCTGACGTCTCGGCCGAAAATCCCATAAAAAAAAAAAAAAAAAAAACATCTATACGCGCGACGAGTATGCCGTATACCACCTGGTGCGCCGACGAACAAACCAAACAGACGGACATTACATTTTGTTAATACAATGGGCACCTATGCGCCGTTTTGTTTTCGTTCACGAATAAAATTACGATTGTTCGGATGGAACGGAGATTTGGCCGTGTTAATTCATGCACTCCCGTGCGTGCGGCCGTCGATTCTCGCGACATTGAAACACATTCGAATATTACGCCTGTCAATTTAGTTTGGCGTCGGAACGCGAATAAGTCTAACAAACCATTTGACGACGCGCAGTAGGCACCTATATTATGTAGACAATCGTCGTTCTTTTGAAGATTTGCTTTTTCGTATTTTTTTTTTTTTTTTTTTTTTTTTTTCGTCAGACATATATTGAATCGTTCGCTATGATCTTATATTCAGCATTTCACTCTTTTAAACAATCGTCGATCTTTTGTTTTCATTTAGAAATCAACATATTTTCAGACTCGCGTTCAAAAAAGAATATTTCGATCGCAGTGAGGAATGCGTATTGAATCATAGTATGTTGTAGCGTTGTTTCTGTTCTTTGTTTTGAGTTTTGCGCGTGTTAACAACTTTTCTACCAGAAATCTCGCTGCTGTAATAATGTAAGGCATCTTTACTAAAAGTAAATTGTATTCGGTTGGTATGTTAAAGAGGTAATTTTTGATTTTTTTTTTTGTTTTTATATTGCAATTCGGTTATCGATCCTCGCAGTGACCTGCAATTTTTTATTACATTTATTAACACTTTCTAGGCGCGGTAAACAATTTTGACGGTTTTACAGCTTTTAATAATCATAGAAAATTGTCGAGTCTTTCAGTTTCTATTTAGTTTTATGTGGATAAAATTATTTCGGCTTTGTAGAAATGTTCAACATTTTATCACTAGGTTCGTTATACATTTTACTTAGCGGTTAAAAAAAAAAATAATGACAACTCCTATCAGACTTTGGACGCAAAAAACGCTCCAAAAAAAAAAAAAAAAAAACTGCTAGAAATAAGATTTATGCAAAGTAGCTGAATCCAGAAGGATTAAAACGACCGGAAAGTTTAACCGCAGAAAAGTAGAAATCCGTAATGAAGTTTTTCAGAAAGCGATATCAAAATAAAGCCGGGTCCGATCCTTCACCCAAAATGCCCGACATAAGGAAAACCGAGTCTTCTAACATAACACTCCAAACACTCCGATATCGCTTTCGTTTGAGGCCTTCAGCGATCTCCGTCCAATCGTTCGCGGGCTCCTTTCGGAAATTTATTCCGGAAACAATTCCGAATAATTTCGAATTTCGACAAATGTGATATCGATATCGATTTCCTAGAAAACCGCACGCTGTCCGACCGATCTGTTCGATTATATTCCCCGGTAATTCTGTTCTACGGGACTTTTAACTTTTGGATTTCTAACTTTCCGTGAAATTGCGGGGCACCCGAACGCTCGCAATATGCGCCGTTTGGATAGTGGCCGCGAGTCGGCGATTACCAGAATCTCCCTGTAAATATGCTATTCCGTACGTAATATTATTATACGCCATCGCGTACGACAACAATAATAATATATTTCCGGCGCGATTCGTTATTCAAATATTATTTCACACGCATATACGATGTGTTCGTAGACGGCGGCGGCGGCGGCGGCGGGACAACACTCGCGGGGATTGACGAACCGCGGAAAAAATAATACTCCGTATGAACTCTGTGTAAATGTTTGCTCGCGTGGCGTATTGTTGCGGGCACGTCCGAACGGGCGGTTTTCAAAACTCGGAGAGTAGTTCGGCGTTTCCCCGGAGAGACCTCCGCGCTATTGTTGTTATGTCCTCGGGAGAGCGACTTACGAGCAAATAACAGCACGCTCCGGAGCCCGTAAGTCGGTTAGGCCGGGTCGGCCGCTTCGCGCTTCGAAAATATGATCGAAAGACGTAGAAATTTGACGGGAACACCTTTTGTTATTGCCCGCGAATTCTCTCCGCCCGGTCGACCCGGCGCGACGGTGATGCGACTCGGTTCCGTATATATTAACGGCGCTTCCGGTTCGGTACGATGGAACCGCCGCACACACTTATAGTCTATAATAACAAAACGCGCGTATAACGTCAAAAAGATAAAAAAAAAAAAAAAAAAAAAATACAAAATTTAAAAACTCTTGAGTGATAAGTTATACAGTGATGTTATCTCAGAATGCGATTAGCATAAGAAATCAGCGCGAGAAAAAGTTTTAAAATTTAATCATAATTTATACATCAAATGCCATTTTTCTTAAATAGTTTTTCCAAATTTAAAAAAAAAAAAAAACGCTATAGTCTCGGTACACTTTCATAAACCTTTTAGCGGATATATTTGAATATCGGTAAATGTATATAATCTCTTTTAGCGCTAAACATTCATACCGACACGAATTTCAAAATCATTGGAATTTTCAATTTGAAAAAATATCATCAGAATAGAGTGATAATTTGCATGTCTAAAATATATAAAAAAAAAAAAAAAAAAAAAAATGTTTCCAAAGCAAACTAAAATTATCATAAATATTTAAATTATATTAAATAGCGACTAGCGAGGAGTATTTTACATAGAGTAGGATAACCTCGAAACACATATGCAATTTATAACAGCCACCTTTCTCACCGTACCACTTAACGCATTCCTCTAATCAAAAGTTTTAATTATAATTCGCCATTGGATGCGTGTAAATATCAATGCGGCCATGCTTAATCTAGGTATATAAGAACCGAAACTTAAAATAATAATTGTGAGATTCGTTCGGAAGTACATTTTGAGAATTTTAAAACGTGTAGGTTTCACTGTAACGAATTTCCACACTCGCTGTAGAGCTAATCAACGCTGCAAACCAATTCCAAGTTTTTAAGTCTAGACTTAAAAACTCGAAATATATTATAATAACAATAATATTTATTTTACGTAATTATCAATCGTCAAATAAGTACTTAAAATTTGTTATTCGCGTAAAAAAAAAAATAAATAAATAAATAAAGGGCATACTTTGCACGCGGGTCAGGAGTTGGGAAGGTGGAAGAGGGAAAATTGAACTTGCTAATGCGTTGCTAATGAAAAACATGTTGAAATGAATCCGCGATTGGGTTTTCGAGATTTCCATACGAAAAGCATAGTTTTTATTTCGCATAATGGCGAACGAAAGCCGTTAAATGTCAACGGATAAAATATGACGCTTCATTTTTAACAGATTTTCGACAGACCCTTGGACCGTTGTCAAAACTGCAGTAATATACGACTACGCTTGTCCTTTCGAAAAATCACCGTAAGTTTCAAAATCGCCGTTTGTGTATTGTTTTCCACCACCTTGACAAATCACAATAATTAATTATAAGTATATTTATACAATGTAATTCACACTCTTTCACTGTATTGAAATGCGCAGGACGTTCCACGAAGTTATGATGCGATATATTAGAAAACATTTATTTTTTTGCAAATTTTTTTTTTTTGAAAATTTAAAAAACAAACAATTCTAAAATATTACATTACCGAAATTTATTTGCGGGGGTGTCATCAATATTAAGGATCCCAATACGGAGTATTTTTTTTGCAAATGAATTTTAGTCTTGAAAATTTTTATTTCGATCAATCCATTTGACGAGATATTCCAATTTTTGTATGCGCGAAAAGGGGGAAGAGTAGTGGAGCGTAATGAGTGTGTCCGTGTGAGTCGGGTCAAGGTTCTCAAATTGAAAATACCTGTAATGCAATTACCGTTATAAACAATAACCAAAATAATTTAACGACAATATCGCTCTCTACGTGTAACACTGTATTACGTTTTATCGCGTATCTCATTGAAAAACAATTAAATGCTAAAACACGTATGGTAAACGTACTCGGGCGTCTTGAAAAAAGATCCACGACAAGTACAGTGATAACCAGCGGCAACAACATGTTTGACCATACCAGTCGCGAGGTACACCTGTAAACGGTTGTTTTACTAAATGCTAAATGCCGCACGACACGTTATAAAAGTACAGAATCTAAGGGCCGTCTAAATTATAGATTTGTATTACCGCATGACTTCCAATTATTATAATATAAAATTATCCGTAACACAATATTATTTATGGTTTTGTATTTTGAGGTACGTATTGATTTTATTATTGTACAGATGTGTTTTTTCTCCGTCTGTAAGCAATTTTTCTACTAGAAATATCGCCTCGAGTTTCAAATATGCCTACCACTATTTTCTAGTTTCCAGCGCATAGTGTACACATTACAAACTAAAAGGAAACTAAAGTAGTTGTATTTTTTTAAACGTTTACAAAGAGTTTTTTTGAAAACCATAAATATCACGGTATTTATCCAATCTTCGCTTAGAAATTCAGAATCGTGTTTGGCAATGATTTTAACGTCGCCTGCAGCTAAAATAAAATTAACCTGTGTATCCTCTACCTCTCCAACGTCCCGCGTCCTACACCGGTGACACACTCGTCAGCGACATCAGTTCCTTTTTAATTTTTATCAATTATCAGAATAACGTATGTACACTTTGGTAATAGTATTGTTAGTATCTAAATTGTTACAAACTTACTGGCTATACAAAACGTATAAGAGAAAGACAAGTATAAGAATATGGACTACAGGGACGTAAACATTAACAGAATAAGATTTTAAAAATATACAATTAGGTAGTCGAGTTCTAACTTTACTAATGAACAAAACTTCTGGATTGTCGTGTTTTTATAAAGTATTCCGTTCTGCGATTCTATAGAACGCATCTAATGGACTTTTGAATGAGAATTACGAGTTCTGACGCGACTCGCTAAGCTGACTTTTAACAATGCGTTTCGCACGATCTCGTATAGTATAACCGGCCTGATAAAATAAACAAATTCTATAAAGGAAAAAATAGGCACAGAAAATACGAAAAAAAAAAAAAAACAATGTTTAACGTTTTAGCGTTAATTGTAATCATCCGGTGTAAGATTGACTAACAACAATAAATAATTTATTGCACTGGTATAGTTAACAAAATTAATAAAAAAATTAATATTTTAGTATAATTTAACCATAATAAAAATAGGCAAAATTAAGTGATTTAACTTATGTTTTCTACCAAAAATTCTTAAACATTACTCCAATCGAAAAATGATAAGAAATCGATTTTATTCCTTTTAACACATTTAGGCACTGATAGAGAAAGTCGTTTTTTCTCAGATAGTTTAATTAATAATTTTAAAAAACATAAAATGAAAACTGACAAATTTACGACGTTACGATTGTATTATTTTAAATTTTTACGCATTCGATTTTCTACCAGTAATATTATTTCTCTTGAAAATCGACCATAAACCTTTTTTTGTTTAATTTTTATCTAGTTAGTGTTTAAGAGAGTCGTTTTTTGATTTTATTTTATTAAATAATTGAGCAAAACCAAAAATTACGTAGAAAAAACAGGAAAACTTAGGAATATTGATTTATGAATTCATTTTTTTTTTTTTTTTTTGGAAATCAGTTTAAAATATTTTTGTGGACTCAAAATGTTGATAGAAAACTTATATTTTTTTTTTCTAGACGTGACAAAACTATCGGAACTTTTAAGCAATTTATAAGCAATATTTATAATTTTTTGAGTTTTTTTACGTTATTTTTCTTTGGTAGGCAATGTATTCTGTAGATAAACTGTTAACAGAAATACTTGAAAATTTAATAGAAGGTTAATTATGAGTCGCTCTTAATGCTTAAAAAAAAAAAAATTTGTTTAATGTAGTTTTTTTTTTTTTTTGCTAAGAGTTTTGAAATCAAATTTTGATAAAAATCATGAATATTATACTACGTCCTTTCAAAATATGTACAACTGAACTTCGCTCCAAATCGTTTTTCGTTTTCAATAGTTTGTCGTTGCAGGTTACATGCATAAATTAAATAACTTTATGTATCCCACCTTCCACACTACCCACCTATTACAGTAGCCGCACCTGTTCTCAGTATCGGCTTTTTATTATTATAATTGTTTTTTTTTTTTTTTTTTTTTTTATTGGAACACAATCCAAATTTTGATGAATGTGCACGTGGAACGTATTCATCGCGTAATTAAGAAACGATGATCGGGAATTCATTACTTTTTTCACCTCAGAAATTTGAATGGGAATGCAATTCATTTTAAGAGGAACCTATTCAAACACCGGTTTGTACACTGCCTCTTAAAACGTGACCGTAAGAAATTCCGCGAGATGAAAAAAAAAAAATATACGTAACTAAAAAAAAAAAAAAAAAAAAAATATGATGCGGTATAAATGTAATTGTACGATTACTATACATCATCAAACCTAACAACGAGTATAATATGACCGTATTATTATTATAAATTATCATAAATAAGTCATATTATTATTATATACTGCTGCACGACTATCTTTTTTCTTTATTTTTTTTTTTTTTTTTTTTTTTTTTTCGCGTTCGCGTACAATAAATTATAATTCGCTAGTATATTGTATGCTGTGCGGCGTAAAACAAATATGATATATTTGTGTGTTCGTGTTTCGAGTGATGGTAAATTACTTGTAATAATTTCAACGAAAAAGAAACTACGTGTGCTTTAAAAACGCGAACAATTTTTAACCAAAAAAATGTGAACGAAAATCCGAGGGCGACTGCCCAGACAGCAAAATCGTAACATTGATATTTTAGAAATTTTACCGATCCTAAAACCAAAACATTTTATAATTTATACTGTCGTTACGTTTTGGGACCGTTCTAGTAGTTATTATCGATCATATAATATTGCAGTAAAATGTCGGCTATATTAGAAATGTAATATTTTCGCTTTAACGTTATGAGACGATTCTAGAAATATTTATAAAATGATATTTTTAGTGGCATAGTAATATTTCAGTCCGGTTGGTTTCAACACATTTTAACTGGAACTTAATAAGCGTGATTCTGGAAATATACAAATCGGAATTGAAAAATAATATTTATATTTATATGTTTCGAAAATGTTTCGGTTTATTCAGTTTTTAAAACGTTATACGTGTATTGTATTTAATGACACGCTACCCACATAGCGTAGCCGTAATGATAATAATATTATTATAATATTAATATCGATTTTTCTTCAAAAAAAAAAAAAAAAATGATATTATTAAATAAATATTGATACAGTATATCAAATAATCATTTTGTAAATTAATAACGCAGATATATTATTAATATAATCATAAATGAAATGTTTAAAGAATATTCCGAATATATTATTATAAACGAATTGTTGAAATTATTATTTTGAATATGTTAATAATATGATAATATCATTGATGAAATAATGAAATAAAATTGTGAATATATGACCATATACTTCTATATATATATATATATAACCTCTATCTAAATTATTTGTAATGCGAGAAAACACTCGTGTCAAACTGTTCAACCGGCAGAGTTTTTAGATTCTGAGTGGATCGGTGATTACACAGATGCACCTGTGCGCAGATATTTTCTACCAGACGACTTGCTCAGAGTACTGAGTGTAGTACCTTTTCTGAAAGAAAATCGGCGTGGAGAGGTACTTTGTGTTGTCATTTTTCGATTTTCTCGGGGGTTTTTTCATCGAATTTGAAAAACAGAAAAAAAAAACACACACATGTATAAATTTCATTTAATTATTTTACTATAACGTGACGTATTATATATTGTTGACGATGCACCACTGTCGTCCGAACTCCGCTCAGAATCGTTTTTTTTTCGTAAGCAACGGTTTATCGTTGCATACGGGTGTATATTAAATTATCTATAACAGCGGCTGCGCCTGTCTCCATTATCCTAGGACGTCTTTTTTTTTTTTCTGTACATATCGATGATCACAATTTAATACGATTATCAGTTGTTTTTCCGGTAAACTAATACGTTCCAACGTTTACGTACAATCGTATTGCGAATATGTGTGTATGTTATTTTGTTCGGTACATTTTTTCCGTCCGTTTTCGCCCGGAAGAATCCATCATCATTCATCGACATCGCAGGAATTGATTCTGTCGGCTGTTTGGTCCAATTTCGGTGCCTTGAGAATATTCCGTATTTTCGATGTTCTTTTTAGTTTGTATAATCGGGGGAAAAAATCTCTGGACAACCGGGAATACACTGCAACGTCAATTTTCGTCGGACACTATTATAAATATTGACGTTTTATAGTACCGTTACGTAACAGCACAAAATATAGATTGACTCTTTTTTAAGGCCCCCGTTTATAATGCTAGCCATTTCGAATGTATAATACTGTACAATAATTATTATACCGACGCGATTTCTATATCGGCGTGGGTATTGTTAGCTGTTAAAGGTTTCGCATTTCGTACAAGTTCACATGATAATGTTTTAATATTACGCGGGCTAGTATAATATACTGCACTTCAACGACCACGACATCTACAGAGA